AGATGTTATCTCAAGTATTCTCATTTTCTATAATTCTATATATTATTAGAGGCCAACTAACAAAAGTATATATATATTAAATACTATATAGATAATAGAAGAATTATATTTAAATTTATTAATCAAATAAATTAAGAGAATGAAATAGATATATATAATTATTATTAAAAATAATAAGAAATCTATAAATTCAAAATAATTAGAAATACTTTATATCTTCTCTTATATATAATAATACTTAAAACTAATTATATACTTTAAATAATTTATATAAACTATCGATAGAATCTTTATTTCTAGTTCTATAATTTTACTATTACTAGACTAGACTATTTATATTTCTGCTAATCTTAATATATATTTCTTTAATTTATTATATATCTCGATTAATTAAAAGTTTTATATAAACTTTTTATTAATTAAATAAGAGTTTCTTATTTATAATAATAAAAATAGTCTTTAAATAATTAGTACTATTCAATTGTAAACTTTATTAAAAAATATCGATTACTAGAGAAGATAGAAAGAGATATGTTCTAGAATATTGTGAAATTAAATCGATTATTTAGTCTAGCTCTGCGTTGGCTGATGTGGACGCTTGAATATGATTGGTTCTCTGCATGCGACAAAATCGATTTGTTGTCAATTTCAATCTCATTGAACAACAATAACGAGCCATACATATAATCATAATATCAATGTAGATAACTTTCGTCCTTTTTCCTCTCTCCTTTTATTTCTTTTCTATTCTTATTCTTTCCCTTTCCTCTCTCCTCTCTCCTTATCCTATCAACTCTCCTCTCCCCCCACCAGGACTACTTCATACTGTATGTGCCGTATTGTGCAGTGTACCTATCCCATCTCCGGAGTATACACCACACCTTCCTATTTCATACTTTCACTCTGTTGGCCCCTACGAAAACAAACGCTCTCAGTTAAGGAGGTTGTCAATGTTTCATCGATAGAAATCAAACGCGCAAAACTTTACTCCAAACATCAACCAACTATCATCATTATTTTGCTACTGAATTTACTACCTTTTCGTCACGAACTTTTAGTTTCCTCCGCCTCTGTTACTCCGATCCATCCTTGTCACTACCGAAAAGTGTGGCCTCGCGCATCCTGTCTGCCACCTGGTTCCAGCCTTCAACAACCTCTCCCTCTCCCTCTCCCTCTCCTGGCCTGGCACGCTCTTTCTCTCTTTTCGATATCACTTATTTTCTTGCGCAAGTTTATCGACAATCTATATCTTATTTCCTTGCTTCAATATCCATGGCATTCCGTCAGTGAGGAAGAATCTGAGGTAGTATCCTAGCGTAGTGAGATCACAATATGATACAAATGCAACGATCCTCATCGCTCCCGGGGCCTGGGCATGCCTCACCTCGTACGTCTCATCTGCAATATACGACATTTTGTCATTCCGTCCTACTATTTCCTTCTCGTCTCAGAGCAAATTACTAATGCGTCAATTCGCTAGCCATTTCCTCAACAATCACTCATGTGTCGTCCAGGAGCCCGACGCCTTCTCCACCGGAGAAGAACGGTTTACCACAAATACAACGATATCAGTCGAGAAGTCCACAAAGACCAACCACTTCTTACAAAGACCTACCAAGTGACACGGGTAAGAAAAGAAGTACTGTTCAGGATTCTTCGCGTTCGCGCTCGCCCTCACCTACAGCTGCCCAGGACGTTCCAGGCGCCGTTGATAGATCGTCCACTCCAAGGCCGCACAACCAAGAATTTATAGCTCCAATGAAGATGCCTCAGCCTTTATTGCAGGATGTCTCCCAATATATGAACACCCATATTAGTGCCGTAACTGCAATGACTACGAACACGAGCCTTGAAGAGCTTGCCCATTTAGTTAGGTTGTCCACGTACCAGGAGAAGAAGCGTGCCCATTCACGCATTCGTTTACAAAGATCCTTGGTGTCAACCGCGCTATCTGCCCGCTTGGCACGTTGTGGAGAACTGGCACATAGAACCCTGGTTGACAACTTCAGGGCCGACGAGAAAAAAAACTTTGCCAGCCTTTATAATGCCATACATGATGTCCGAAACTCATGCGATGCCTCTCGGCGCTTCGCTTTATTGGAGCCTGATTTTGACCATGGACAATCAAGTATATCTGGTATCGAGGACACAGGCCCTATGTTGAACTTTATGCATGGGATTCCCCTACGATCTCGTGAATGCCTGCTTAATTTTTTGACCCAAATCAGGACAAACTCGGATTATTTAGCTAGCCGTATAGCCAGCCTTACGTCGACGGAGTTGTCGGCCTTGACAAATTTCCATCAAGGTTTAGAAGCCATCGATTCTGTTCTGCCCTTTCACACTCGTTCTAAGGGCCATTCAGCTAGTGCCCACCGCATCCTTTCGCATATACCCTCCGCAGTTGAGCGTTTGCTTTCTTTCCAGCGTCATGATCCTTTGTCTGCCTTGATTCACACTTGTTTTGCAAATTCCGCTGGTCCCGATTCGCTTGAGGATCTTAGGAGAACTGATGTCTGGGCCACCGCGTGCGCCAGGTTAATTACCGAGAGCAAAAGCGGAACGGATCCCTTCATCTGCAGCGTTTTGAACGTCTGGACCACCATGAGAGACTGGTCAGGGCGAAGCAATATGGAATGGTATTTGATGAAAATTCTTGAGGATGGAGCCTTTTTATTGGAAAAAGCCGAGGATCAGGCTGGTACCCGGATACATGTCGAGCCACGGAATGCCAAGGACTCTATAGCTGCAGATGAGTTTTATGATGCAGCAATTCATGGCCTTTTCGATATTATTGACGATCCAGGTGCAGGAGGAATTCCAGAAGGTCTAATCGAACTTGGCAACGCCATTCTTCGAAAACTCGATCCCAAAAGACATGGACCCACCAGGAGATTTCTAGTATCAAAATGGCTATTTTCTGTTTTCTTATTGAACGCAATAATCCATCCAGAGGTATATTAATGTGAAGATTTCCTGGCTACATTGTGATCGCTGACATGTATAGTCATACGGCATGATGTCGGAATATCACATCACGGAGTATGGTAGGCAAAAGATTTTGAAAGAAGTTGCGATGCGCGCACAGCGCTTTGTCGTTGATATGACCTGGTATTAACATTCTTGCATTTGCTAGTTCGGTTTCATTAACCTGCTTTACAGGAATAAGTCCTCTCCACCGCCGGTGATTAAAGCTCACATAGAAAATATCTTGGCACGTTTCCGTTCCTCAAGACCATCAAAATCCATTGCGAAACTTCTGCCCGCCAGGTCTATTACATCCTTGAGGGAGACAGCCGAGGTGCACCCTTATCTTGTCCTTGCTCCTGCCGATCTAATGACTATGGTAAATGCATTGTTTCCGGAAAGTCGACCTGCATCGAGTTTCTCCACCAAAGATTCGCATCTCAGTGGCTTGCGATCTACGGCTTCTTCTGTCTCAGGAATGTCTGCCATATCAGTGCTACTACCGCAAGTACCTACTCGTGAAACTTTAGACGGTGCTTCCATAATGAGTAATAGTGGCTCATCGACAATTAGTGATGTAACTACATCCAGAGAGCCCCTGCTCAATGAAACATCAAGCACACAACAACAAGCATCGTCTATATCAATATCATCTATTTGTCAGAACCAACGACTTAGTTATTATGAAGATGATGGGTTTGAGCTCCGGGAAGCTCTGCAAGAGATGTCGCGATCTCTAGGTAGCGATACCATCTCTGGCGCATGCCATCCTTGCGCTGAGCGATGGACTGTTCTATTTATGACGCCCGACGGACAAGGATTATCGACCCAAATGCTTCACGATGACGATGGAGATGACGAAGAAGGTACTTCAAGCAGTGACACCGATGAGGATAGTAATGGGTATCATTCAGATCTTGACAAAGATTACCATCAACTAAGAAGTTCGATCCTGAAACTTGTGGAAGATTATGAGATTCCCGAATCGTTGGATTCAAGAATTGAATCGAAGACTTTCAGTAATCGTACATCAATCCTTGAGACTCCTCGTAGGAAGCATCACAGCAAGCCGAAGTCGTTGGCTCAAATACAATCGAGGAATCCCTACCGGTCCCGTGATCAATCCCCCAGAGTGGATAAAGCTTTCAAAGGAACTGACGCCAGGTATGCAAAACAGAGAGCCGAAATGGAGGCAGAGGCCCCCTCCGTTTTAATTTCTATGCTAGAGGCTGCAGGGTCTCAATGCAAGGCACAGTCTGATTTCATCAATGCTCATCTATACTGGAAAACTCTAAGACAGCTTAATCAACTGTCATCCGCTTCATTGAAGAGAGATGGCTTTGCATCTCTCCTGACCATTCTTTCAAGAGGACCCAGGGACTGCATCCGCCGCTCCACTAGTGCAATCGAAGAATACGACGCATGGTTGGTTTGGCTCAAGCAGTCACAGGAACGCCATGATGTAACAATTGAATCTATGATGAAACGTCTGAAGGCTCTCCGCGATAAAATGTGGTATGTCACCGATGTTCGGAATTCGGCAGCGTATGAGGGAGCCCGGAACATTGCCATAGCTTTGAAGTGCATGGTCTCACCAAAGAAAGGATTTCATTTGGACAAGTCTAGCGCTCGTTCTCGCAATACTCCGAAGCCATTAGCAAACAATTTTCTTCTGAAGACAGAGGCACAAGTCATGGACATGATGGCTGCTAGTGATGACCAAGGCGGCCCAAATAAACTTTCGGACGAGCAAGCCGAGAAAACCCTGAGGTGGTTGTCTCAATTCGGAATCGAGAACTTTTGCAAGGGCGAAGAACGAATCCATAGATTTGGTTTAGAAATCGAGACGTGCATTAATAAACTAGTTGGAGATAACTTGATGGAAGGGCCTGTTCTTTGGTCTAGTGAACTATATAATAGAGACAAGCGGATTTTGGACAGCGGAAAACAAAAAGGCGATCTGTCTTTGAATAATACTCGATATCTCAATTTAATTGGAGAAGATATGACTGATACAGATACCAAACGCCGCGGCCTACGCAGCACAGATCTTAATCGTCCTGGGATTCACGACCTTCGGGCTATGTCTACCAAGAATAATTCTCAGCAAAGTTTCAGCTCAGGAAGGTTCAGCACACCACGGATAAACCCTCCCGGAGACCTTATGGACTCCCAGGATTACTTCGGTATGGCAAGTCCCGTATTGACAATAGATTCTGCAACAACCTTTTGGTCGCCTTTCCAAACACGAGCCCAGTCCCCAACCACGAGCATCAGTAGTCATCGCCCGGATACTGCTTCATCTACCAACGAGACCATCATGCTAAAGGATGACAATATGAATGCAGCTAAACAACGATTCCTGACAGAATTGAAGCAAAGTTTGACGAGTTTACTTCTTAGTGACCTTGGTACTCTCGTTTTCGCTCGTGGGAGCGAGACGGACTCTTGGTTTTCGGGTTCCATAGGTCAAGATTGTGTCGAAAGAAGGGACCGTGGAGATCGGAGAGCCAAGAGGAAGAGTAGAAAGCGTGTAATCGAAAAGAAGAAGAGCTTTGGGGACCTTCGTGGAGCTCAAAAGACAGAGCAGCTCCCGATTGAACGCCAAGACTTGCTTGTAGAAAAGGCAGAAAAGAGTTCCACATCGAGCAACAAAAGTGTCCCTGATACTGGAGCTTCGGAAAATCGCTCTACCACGGAAAGCTCCTCCACTAGCGATTCTGTTCACACAAGAGCTAGAAAGAGTACGATGAGAGCCACAAAAGAATCAGATAATTCCGAATTCCCTTACAGAATGGCTTTCCAGCGTTTATTGCGTATGTTTTCTGTTCATCCCAATCCATACGCGAAGCTTAACGCGCTATACGAGCTCGAGCACTTGATCGTAGCTTACTTGACGCCATCCACCTCAAGACGTCCCCGAGTTCGGCAGGAGCCCATACCTTCTCCACAATCCCCTGAGACTTCGCACCATAACGCTTTTGGGCCCACTGATGCAACAGCAACTACTCCAAGAGCAAGGACTCTCGGAGAAGCGATTGGCAATTGCAAAGAGCGTCGGTCCCATACGCTCATTCAAACAGAGAACCCCCCATTAGTCAATCGAAATACTGAACGGTATTCGAGCTTGAATGTACCAACTGCCGCGAGTACGGATATGATTGTCGATGTCTTGCAAGACCTGTTTCGCGACCCAGAAATGAGGCCAAAGACATTATTTCGTGATCTACAATTCATTGCCTCGTTTGTCCCAGCTGCTACTTTAGACAAAACCGAACGCGGGAAAGCTTTCTGGGACGCTGGACTTGCTGCACTTGGTCTTAAACAAGATGTCTGTCGTACACTAATCGAGATCGCAGATGAGATAGTGGTACATTACACCCAAAGTCGCAAGACAACAACCGCTTTGTCAGATTCCTCGTCTCCCAACGGTGAGTTGATAAAATATAGCATGCAGGATGCTGCCAATATGTGGACGATTACGGCGAAAGAAGGAGACCCTGTGGCAGAGCGCGAACTTGCCATATTTTATTTGACCCACCCCGAACTGGTGGAAAGAATCACTGCTCCATTAAGCAAACCTCGTGAAACCTTCAAAGCACAGGTCATGGAAATGCACCAAGGCAAAGAAGGTGTGGTGACGGAGAGGGATAGGGAGAGGAGCGATCCTGCCACCATGTGTGTTGCTTATCATTGGATGGAACTAAGTGCACTTGGTGGGGATGAATTGGCAAAGAAGTATCTACGACAGCGCGAGGAGCTGAACGCTATTCCATGAAACATGATTGATGATATTGCAGGAAATTTGATGTGCGCATATTATTTCGCAAATGAGAACATGAGGTCATATATACCATTGATGGAGTTTGTTTCCAATATTTTAAGCAAGAGATACCTTATTTTTGTTCATGGCGACGGTACTTTGTATGTGCCTATTTTGGAATCCAGCGTGTTTTCTTTCGTTTGTACATAATAAATACTCTACGCAGTTCTTAGATATAGAAAACTAGGAAAATTCCAATGCATAGCATGGCGTCTTAATGGCTTGCAAGAAGATCTTACGTGCAATGTTAATACGAATTGATTCTGATTGATATTGCCATATGAGCTTGAAATTCTGGTAATGCTGCTATGTGTGATCTTGTACTAGCTATTATTGATAAAAGTTTAAGTAGAGGGTATGTCCCCGGCCTTTCCTTTGTTTCCACCTACCCTCCAACCTCTGTGATCAGAAAGATAACCCGATCAAAGCTTTCTCTATGATAGAGGAAAATGTCCGCGCTTGGGGATCTTTCACGTTGAAGCAGTAGTACTAAATGAAAGTAGCTTTTATTACTGCCGCCAGGTAAAAATTGTTTCTGCCCCCCTAGCCAATGAAAAAGCAACCGCAGGCTATGCCGCTATGCATGGTAGTGAAAAAATAAAAAGAAGATCAAATGAGTGAAGAAACGTGGGAAGCGACCGGATGTATCCAGCTCACTTTGAAGGGACCGGTACTAGTTTTGTTCCTGCGAGTCCTGCGATTCCAGGCGACCAATTCACACAAATAGCTTCAGGCAACAAATTGACTCTTCGTAACGAAAACTGCATTCTTGACTCGCTCCCTCTCTCTCAAGAGTCGATTTCTCTCCTTGTCGAGATAATGGACCGGCCATCCACCTACCGGCTCGGCTTTTGTCATAAAACTTGTCTTCCACTTAATGTTCCACTCAGTGAACCCAAGATCGTAGAACGGAAGGACTAAGTTAAGCTGGGGAATTGAGAGCGGCTTCTTAGTGTTGGAAGGGGTCTGCAAGATGACATCTAGACGTTTGATTGCTGGAAAGTGTTGTAATTTAGCTACCAATTTCTCAATATGCTGGAATTCGAGAGTTTGTTGGCAGTGGAGCACGGAAGAGTTGACTTTAGATTGATCAGCGTCAGAGATGGAAGGGAACATAATGCTGACGAAGATATACTTGGCATGGGCGAGGAAATCTGGGCCGAGGTAATCGATGTAATTGAGCAGTGTATGGTAACCCTTGGGAGGTTTCTCCTGTCCGTTGACCTCCTGAGCATTGATATTGATCATTTCTTCCTCGGAGCGGAAATCAACTTCAATCTCGATCCAATTCTTTGCCCAGAACTCCTCACGCTCCTTGGCCAACATCTTGCTGACAACATCTGCTACATCGTAAACAGCAGGCTGGAACTCATCCGCACACGCATGTTTGTACAAGAATCCATTCTCGGTGAAACGATCGGTGATACGGGCGAGGTTTCTGATAACGCCGAATTGGCTGATGATTATATCCTTCTTCTTTTTATCTGCACGACCAAAACGGGGTTTCTCCGTCCTAGGACCGGTTGGGAATGAAACAATGGGAGATGGTGTTGAGAATGGAGTATCCTTCGACTTGGCCGGTGTAACGAAGCTGCTCGATCTGACCTTCTCTGGTGTAGAGTTGATAGAAGAAGTGGAGATAGCATTCATTGCATCCTTTATCGGATGAACGGCTGCCATCTGATCAAGGCCAAGACTACCGGTAGAACTTGATTGGATCCGATTAGCCAGGATCACTCCAACTTCCATTTCCATTTCCATTGAAAATTTAGATATAGTCTCCAACTCCCCAGCCTCGGTGTTGATACGCCGGGGGGTTCCTGCCAGTTGTACACTATCTACCATCTCAAGTTGGTCTTGTAACTTCTTAACTGCGGGGGCTCCAGAGCTAGCATCTATACGGACCTTTGGAAATGGCGCAGTTTTGAGAGGAAGAGCCGGGAAAAATTCTGGTGAGGTAGCAGATAACGACTTTGCTGCTGTTCTACCCAATACCTCAAAGTTCGGAGTAATCAATGTTCCCTGGCGGAAAGATCTAAATGCCAACGGACTCTTTGGACTGGCGGCTGCGGAGGCGTGAGCTTCGGAGTTCTTGTCCGCGGTGAGCGAGGACGGCAAGGTTAAATTTGGTAAGTCTAAGGACTTCTTGGCTCGAGCGTTCTTGTTTCCCATGGTGTTATTGTTTGCGCCTGGCAGCGAATAATCGAACTGGTGTTTTGGGAGAAATGTGTCGTATTGAGGAGGAATGGCGGTGGGCTTGATGTTGGCGGTGCTTTTCAAAGACTATGGCAAAACTAGCATTAGTATAGATATCGTAAAAATGTTATGTGCGATGATATCAGAACGCAGATTTGAGAGAAGCGTTTGACCCAAATAGCTTCTTTCGTGGAGCTCCCTGCTCACATATAAGAAGGGACAGATAGATCTATCGCAGGAAGTGGCGGGGTTGAGAGGTATTTGGATACCCATGGAAGCCTTGAGTGGTTCTGTCAAATTATGTGTAGTAAGTGTACTTACGGTAGATGAGCGAGCGTCTCAGATCTAGTTAAATTGATAAGAACAAGATCGTTGGGAGTTAAAGGCCTTTCAAAGACGAAAAGAAAGGAAGAAAGGTATCTGCCGAAAAATGATAAAGAGTATCGTACCTGTTAAGGATAAGTTATTCTATTGTTCTAATTTGCGAGTCCCTATTGTACTGGGATCCTACAGAGAAAATACTGCGGATTGGCTTGGGATAGATAACTGGTCGGCAACGCAATTAAGATTGATGTTCTAGGTTTGGGGCAGTGAAGTGAATTGAAAAGTGGTAGATGAAAGTGAATGAACCTCCTCAACAATCAGATGCCGCTGCTTCCAAGTACCGTATGACCAAGAAATAATAGAACAGAGGTTTGTGATCTAAGGCCAAATATTATGTGATATGTGCCCACCAAAGTCTACGGAAAGAAGGGCAAGTCATATCCTCTATACTGCCGTATACTTGGTAGCCACAGGAAGAAGCTGCCCAAGGCAACAGACGTGCCATGTGTGCGACAGAAGCCCAGCTTTCACTTCAGGAATAAGGTAAGTTCGAATACTATCGACGTGACATTTGGACCTTCTATACACTCGAAAGGTATACGAGCCCTGGATGTGACAGGATCAGTGTATCTATCGCAGATTTTAACGGATATCTTATATATCATATGCCCGTGTTTATCTTTCAAGCCGACTGCTTTCTTTCAAGGCGTCCAACTATTAAAACTGCATTCTAGATGTGAAGTCTTTCAGTATTCCAAACGCTATGCATCTAGCGATTGTTTATCTGTTTTGGTGGTTTCAACATATGCTACCAATGCAAACAATCCAAAATCTCTCAACATCGACTGCAGTTGGGACTATTGGAAATCTTTTTCTCTTAGACATCCTTAATAAGCAAACGTTCATCATTTCTGTTGTACAAAAAACAATAGAAACCGGCTACTTGGCATTGATGATATTACAAGGCTAAGTCCGGCACCACAAGCTGGGGCATGAATTACGACTTGTCTTCATCACCCAAAAGTGGTGTTGTTTCCCACAATGGTATGGTATGGTACCTTTAACTCTCTCGTGTTGGCCACAACACGTTTAGTTGTCATTGTGGGCCTACCCCCAAAGGACATTCTTAATTCACAGACCCCCGGAAATGGCAGGTGGTGAGAGGAGGATGGATGACCAAACCTCATGGCCATCAACGTAGAGACGGAATTTTAGAGTGCTTTGGTCGACGGCAGTATTTTCAATTGTAATGGCTCCCAACTTCGAATTACCGCCGGGGACATATCTTCGGAAACGTTAGCGAATTTTACTAGTTCAGGGTGTCATGATATATGTTACTTGATCTCAATATCATCATCATCAGCTTGCCAATAAGTATGGACTGGCAGATAGAATTGACTGAGGGGACTGGTGGAAAACTCATTGACGGTCGCGCTGATTGGCCAACATCCGTTTGATGGGGGCGGAAAGGCCGTTGCGGCGAATTCATGCCTATCTCCACTGATGATCACAACCCCACAGCCTCCAAGGAGGCCAACATCCCACATCGCTTCGAGAATTATCTGGCGCTCGTTAAGGTAGCCAGCCCAAGTATCCATACTATTGACACGCTATGGCATTGAGGAGTCAGTGATTACGTATCAAGGAAAGTTTTGGAGTAGGATTGGGAACAGAAATGTATAAAATCAGGAAGGAGATGGAACAGTCAAGCAGAGTTGGACATTGAGGAGCGTGGAATGGTAGAATTAATTATACTCACCCAGTTTTTCGTGAATGGGATGCTAGATGCTACAATTTTCCACTTAACACCCTTTGGCTCAGGTTTCTTGAGAAACTGGAGTAGATCAGCGAGCTGTTTCGCACCAAGCATTGACTTTCCAGTGCTATTGGCAGGTAGCTCGGAGGAAGAATCTCGATATGTTCTGGTATCCATCAAGAAAAACGAAGTAGGTCCTTGCGTGAACTCAAAGTAGGTAGCGCCATCTCTGAGAATGTTGTAAGTCCCAGCCTGCCGAGCTCGTGGAGGGTTGACGGCTGTTTGATAATGGTGCCACGGATCAGCTGCTGCTGCGTAAACCTAGCCAACCTCATGGTCAGCAAATAATGTAAGTAGAAAAGACAATACATTCTAAAATGGTGAGCAACGAGCAGAACTTCCTACAGTCCAGACTGCATTCCGTCGATGAAGATTTCTTGATTATTGACTTACCCCTGCTGTTTTCTTGTCCCAGTCATTAGCAATTTCATGATCATCGAGCACGTGTATCCAGCCTCGAGAAATTTATAGTTAGCAAATCAGATCATGGTGTAAAAATGGGAGCATAGCAATGATGGAACATAAGCCATCGGACCAGAAACAATACATCCTGAACTGAAAAGGGCCAGAATTCACATAATACTTACTTAGATTTTGCCCAACAGCCGGCCAATCCGGGGAACTATAAACCTGTCTATACTCGCGGCGATAATCTTCCATGGTCACTCCGAATCTTTTTGGAACATCGATATAAATGAAGTCACCAAGAAAGAGCATAAACTGAGACCCTCCAGGAACTGTGTTGATGACATCTGCCATATGCTTGAAGCCAGGGATTGCCAAAGGATGGTCAAAAGGGCTGTAAGGGAAGCGCGGTTTGATGCAACTGGATGTGAGAAATGTGAAAAGCCCCGATTGAGGAAGATGTCCAGGTTTTGGAGGAGTCGTGAAAAACCCCGTATGGTTGTTTGACGTAGTCCATTGATAAGTCCTCTCAGGATGATTGGGCAATGAAAATTTCAGAGCCTGGGTGAAATCCGTGTCTTCTGACAAAGTATGTATCGTTCCGGCGATTTGTGACTTCGAATCTTCGTAAGCGGCCGCAGGAGTTGCTAATTTGTAAGTGACGGATATAGGAAGCTTAGAAATATCTGGTTCTCGAACAAGAAGATTTGCTTCCGTAGAGGCACTTCCACACGATTAGAAATGATACTCAATGGGACGCGCGACTCCGTTCAGTCATAGCACGCCAAAGGAGTTTTCTCAACAAACTTTGGTATATTGGAATGATCCAAAACATCAAATGGAGCTTGAGTAGTATTCCACGACGAGACGGAGTCGCGTGTGGAGAGTAGACATCTGAACTTACATGTAGCCCATTCGTGCGAACGAAAGCTCTGTGCTAGGATGAAACACTTTTGCATGATATACTAAATCTATCGTGGCTAGAACCATACCCACATTGATCATAAACGTCAAGAGTGAGAGAAAAGGCGATACAGGATCAGGCGCGCCTGTCAGAATTGTACGAAGTGGCGTTGATGATTTTTCCTCTATCACGACTGTCTTGTTAACTTCACCTTCTTCCACCACATGCTTTAATTTGTCCATCCCCGATATATTTTGAGATTTTGCAGCAATTAAAGCAGGTGCTGGCGGCTGGTCTTCGTGCTCTGTCTCGGTAACGGTGATGTTGATATCATCTGCTACCACTGCATACGGGGTCTGCGTTAGAAGACTAGCAATGAAGGAGGGCACGTAGAGTGCAAAAATAGTATAGATAATGGGAGGCAATGGCTAGTAATAAGTGTTAGCGGTTGGTGTATATAATTTGGAATTATTTACATGACCAGGAATGATGCGGAGAAAGATATAAGTCGCAATTCGCAAAGCAATTGAGCTGCAAATGGCCAATTTCTGTTGAACTGTTGACATGGTAGGTGAAATAGACTCGAACTGATCTCGTTTTCACTCCAGAACAGAAATGAAGGGCAAATATGGAAGAAAAAGACAACAGAAGAGTATCATATGTTTTAATTTCTAAACTCAAAGTAGTAAAAATAAGTTTGGTATTGAAACATCGGCAAGACTCAAGCAAGGGAGGAGGTTACACCCAGTTTAATAACATGTTTCCAAAAAAAATCGTGATTTTTGATCTCTTTCATCTTTTCATCTCAATCTCAAAATAATTATTTGGATAATAAAGTCATTTCAATATTGAAAAATATCTGAAATAATTCTAATAATCAATAATTCAATTATATTAAAAAAATTTCACATTGAAATGATTTTGATAAAGATATTGTAGATTGAAATTCGAATTTGAAATTGAATTTGAGATAAAAATTGGTGAGGAGTTAAAATCACGATTTATTTTTGGAAACACGTTATTAAACTGGGTATAGGGAAAATAAGATAAGATAAGATCGAACAAGTAGTAAAACTACTCAAGTAGAAAAGAGAGAAAAGAGAAGAATAGAGAAGATATAAGAAACTAGTATAGTGAAGATTGATATACTTTCTTTCTTTCTTTTTATTTCACATTTCCGATTGTAAGAAATGAATTAATGGACATATAGCTATTGCTATCGTTGTAGATGATCGATATTATTATACGGAGTTGTAGCTTAAAGAAAAGAATTAATAACTACTATAGTGACTGAACTCTTTATTCAATATATAATATTTTACTTCTACGCTAGCTAACAAATCTTTAGCGAAATAATTAATAACGTATATATTAAATCAAAATAATTATTACTAACTTAGTTCTTTATATTATTAAAGATTATATTTAATTTAAAATGATAATAATCTTTCGATTTATTAATAATATTCTTTAATACTCGAGTATATTAAAAGCAAATAATAAATTATAATGAAAATAAAAATAAAAATCTCTTTATAAATTAATACTCGAGTATTAATCTTATTCTCTATATATATTTATATATAATATTGTCACGGGTTCACTACCCGTTCCTAGCTAGCTCGGATGGATGCCTTAGGCATCCATCCACCATATAGTCGTCGTCGCTCCGCGCGCCTCCTTCTCTCCTCGTCGAATATCATATATCATACCTAGTACCCACCAGAACCCGTACCAGCCCCGTGATAAATATAATATAAAATATAATATTAAACTTTTAATTTATAATATTATTAATTAGTATTAATACTTGTATTACTACTCGAGTATAAAAATAATAAAATCAATAATATTATTGGAATATCACTAAGATTATAATAGGTATAATAATAGTAATATTATATATATATCATTAGAGATATTCTAGTAATATTAGATATATATATAAATATATAAGATATATATATATAAACAATATTATATAAATTATATTATATAATCTTATATAACTCTATACTATATTTCCAATATCCTCTTATTAATTAGAATAACTAATTACAAAATACTATTAGACTATATATCTAAATCCTATCTCCAAATGAATTCGAGAGCCTTATTAACTCTTGTAACAATAGATAGTATTATAATATCTAATCTTTTATAGAATTTAATTATAATAAATATATTATAATACAAGAATATTCTAATCCTTTTTTAGAGGTCTTTTATTTTCTTAGCGAAAAAGAATATTTTTTTCGATATCCTATTCTTAATAAAGTAATAGATATCTAAATATCTATAATCATTTAAATATAGATTGTCGGTATATTATGTGCATATCATGTGCGTCGCTTAAACGATGCACGTGATAAGCCTATGGTATATTGGCATTAATCTCAGGAGAGAGCTCTTTCTCTCCTACGCACAATAATCATTCTAATACTAGAGTGTTTATATTGCCGTCACCTTGGCCGGCCTCATAGAGGTGCCACTTGTGAATGCCATCACT